TGGTAAACCCCAAGTGTCAGTGTGTCATGGTTCTGGACCCCAAGTGTCAGTGTGTCATTGTTCTGGACCCCAAGTGTTAGTTTGTCGTTGTTCTGGGACCCCCAAGTGTGTGTGTGTTTTTGTTCTGGGACCCCCAAGGGTCAGTGTGTCATTGTTCTGGGACCCCCAAGGGTGTGTGTGTTTTTGTTCTGGGACCCCCAAGTGTCAGTGTGTCATTACTGGACTTCCAAGTATCAGTGTGACATTGTTCTGGGACTCCCAAGTATCAGTGTGACATTGTTCTGGACCTCCAAGTGTCAGTGTGTTATTGTTCTGGACCCCCAAGTGTCAGGGTTTGATTGTTCTGGATCCCCAAGTGTCAGTGTATCTATGTTCTGGCCCCCCCAAGTATCAGTATATCATTGTTCTGGATCCCCATGTGTTGGTTTGTCATTGTTCTGGGAACCCCAAATTTGTGTAAGTCATTGTTCTGAACTGCTAAGTGTCAGTATGTCATTGCTCTGGACCCCCAAATGTCAGTGTGTCATTGTTCTGGGACCCTTGAGTGTCAGTGTCATTGTTCTGGGACCCTTGAGTGTCAGTGTGTCATTGTCCAGGGACCCCCAAGTGTAGCCCAGCAATTCCTGAGCACCGCAGCATACACTTTTCTAGATGTATCAGAAATAAAGTGTTAATGAAGTTCTCCGGCAGTCCGTTCTGATTTGGTGAATATTTATCATCTCTATCAGACATCATGATGATAAAGTATCTCAGATTTCTTCTATATCTTATTCAGCAGTTCCAAAAATATCCAGAGAAGGTGGGGAGAATCATTACTCGTCTGTAGATAAGACATTCTCCCGACCCTCTCCGCTCATCCTCCATCCACTTCATCAGGAGCGCAGAGCACCTGATGGGGAGCCGTCCGGAGATGATGATGATGGGAGCTCAGCCCTCCCCTGTGGATGTCCGGGGACCACTGACACCATAGAGATATATACTTTTATCACAGTCCCATCTGATTAGTTCTCTCACATCCTGCATATTACTGGAATTTATTGTGCTTGGTGACCTCTATGAGCAGCACTGAGACTTTGAGCTAAACTGATCACCCCTACCGCATCCTCATAAATAAATTGCAGTGTCCTATCGATTGCTCAGATAAAATCTCTCTTCTGTAGATTAAAATTTGTACAGAGTCTGGAAAATAATTCCACCTTTTCAGTAATGCAATGAATTTCTTGTCATGCAAAAGCAGATGATCTGTAAGTCATTCCTGACACTCATGTGTCTGCACCCTGCGCCATACTGACCGGCATCAAAACTCATGCAGGAGCAGAGTGTGGAAAATTCCTGGACCAGGTCACTCACTGCAGTTTACATTCCAGTTACACTTGTAGTTCACAGAAAGATAAGGGACGGTTCACACTGATGCCATGGGGGAATGCAGGCAATTCAGACAGGAATCGCACCGCTGTGTGAACCTGTTCAAATCACATGTGATTCTTTGCAGTGAGATTTGAGCCCATTAATTTTTTATGGCTCATATCACACTGCAAACCGCGTGAAACAGGTGCATGCATCTTTTTTTTGCTGTACTGGAATCAGATCGCATGGGTGTGATTTGATTCGGCCAATCACACTGCCTTTTTTTGACCATTTTTTTGGGGTGTCGTTAACTTGACATTGACTGCTGTAGCAGTTTGCATGACTGGACTGTGTGATATAGGTAAAGTTTTGGATGGAGTATGAATGGCTGCAGGAACCGCATATGTGGCTGCAGGAACTGCAGGGAAATCGCATGGTACCCTATGGGGAAACGCAGGCACGGCAGCCCATTCAAATGAATAGGTTGCCGTGCTTGAGCAAACATGGCCCATGTGAACCAGGGCTGAAAGGGTTATAACCCTTTGTGAATTTTTTATTGTTGTATCCCCTTCTGGGGATTTTTCTCACTTCCTTCCTCAGATTTTTCTCCAAAGTGAGGGAAAATCTCACCTCTTACTGCCTATTTGGCTGATGTCAGGCAGAACATCTAGTGATGGGAAATCCTCCCACCAAGGGGGTTACAGTGAGCAATACAAAATATATTCTGTAGTGAAGTAGAAAAGGCTTAGAGCTGTAATAGATAAGCTAATCTCCCCAAGGCTGGTGCTTCCACTAGGCAAACTAGGTGGCCGCCTAGGGTACAGTGCCAACTAGGGGCGCCTGGGTGCAGCACAGGCCAGTGCCACCTAGAGACCTGGGTGCAGCACAGGCCAGCACACTCTCTGTGTGGGACACCACCACATCATGAATGATCATTCAGCTGAGGGAAGGGGTGGCAGAGGGGAGGAAAAAAGGACAGAGGAAGATGCCAGGTGTCTGGGGCCAGTGTAGTAGCGGAGCTGCAGCTCCTTCCAGTGTTCCTCTCAGACTCAGTCCCTGACTACAAGGGCTGATGGCTGCTGATCACTGTGGAGTTCCAGCCCTTCTCTTCCCATTCATCAGTGGAGGTGGAGCTGTGCCTGCGGAGGAAGGTAATGTCTGACTCTGATGTCTCGTGTCTTTGTGAGAGTGTGACCCAGCCGACCATCAATCAAATGTGCAATGTGTCAGTGAGTGATGACATCATCATCATCCCACAGCATGCTCTTCTAGTGCCTGCTGATCTGTGTCAGTGGTGTGTTGTGTTGGATCTGTCACTGTGTGGGATAGCTCAGTTTAGCTGCCAGCTGTCACAGCGTTTTATCGCCCCCCCATTGCCTGGGGAATTTCAGCCTGGCATCTCTCAGAGTGTCATCACCCATCCATCATCCTCCACTCACTGCAACTGTCACCCTTCCACTGCCAGCCACAGATGCAGTCCGTCCGTGATGCTGATTTTGTCTTTAATATTGGTACTGGTGGCATTTTATGGCACTTATTTTTGCAAATTAAAATAAATTTAGCAGTTTCATATTTTGTTGATTTAATATTTTATATTGTTTTTTTAAAAGCTGGTCTTGCCTAGGGCACAAAATAGTCTAGCACCGGCCCTGAATCTGCCTAATGATCTGACAGCTTCTTCTTGAAATTTACTAAAGAGGTTCAGAAGCTGATTAAAAATGCAGAGAGTCAAAGTGGCAAAAGTGTGCGCAGACATTACAGAACAAAGTTAAACAAAATATTAAGCTGTAGAAACAAAAGCTCATAAGATCAATGTCTCTATGACTCAATACAGACAGTAGGTGGCAGCACAGTGCAGTATCTGTAAGGCTCTGTGGCCACCAGATACTAAAGGATGACCAGTATTTTATCATAGACAGTACAGTACAAAACAACTACATGCGCATAGTCTTTGGGACAGCACCTCTCACAGTGCAGTTCAGGGTAGGTCTGGGTTAACAGGAGACCAGCTGGAGAGATCTCAAGGCTGACACCACAGGCAAGTGGCAAAAGGAGTCCCAGGGCTGGTACCACAGGTGTGCGGCCAGAGATATCTTTGGGCTGACATCATGGGTGGGTGACTGGAGGACTTCCAGGACTGGCAACAAAGGTGGGAGGATGAAGGAGTCCCAAGGCTGGTACCACAGGTGTGTGCAGCCAGAGATATCTTTGGGCTGACATCATGGGTGGGTGACTGGAGGACTTCCAGGACTGGCAACAAAGGTGGGAGGATGAAGGAGTCCCAAGGCTGGTAACACAGGCAGGCAGCTGAAAGACTCCCAGGGATGGTACCATAGGTGACCAACTGGAGACACAATGCCACCCATATAAATTGCATGCTCCCGACAGCGACTGTATTTTCCCATAGGGACTGCATGCTGTTGGGTTCCTGCCCATCTGCCCGCATGCTAGGACTAACAATGAAGGACTATACACCTGGCAGGAAATCACAGTCCCAGTCACCTATGCCTCATCAGGTGTGATCGCTCTGAACATGCAGAGGGTGCGAAACAAGTTACATTCCTTGGGTGCATCAAAGAGGTTGGGGGCATGTTGGCACCCAGGGGAAAAGAAGGCTAAGAAGTCTGCGTGGTGAGTCAAGGGGCCATCTGCTACAGAACCTCCATCAGGATTTTATTGCTCTCTTAAACAGGGAGATTTCTCCATCATTTCCAATATATCTCCTTTACGGGAACAAAGACTATGTTCTGTACAGTACTGTATGGACTTGGGTTTTAATGTTAGATGTTGACTTTGATGTATTTCCAGTCAGTATAATTCCATATTATTTTCTAAGTAAACTAATTTTCAAACTTTCTAAATCTGCAGCTTTCAATAAAATACTCACTGGTGGTCCTGCCATAAAGCTCCTTTGGTCAAACACGCTCTGTCTGTCATGTCTCCGAACTGTGGTCCTGTGTTGTCACCCTGTCACATTCTCCCCTAGTGGAGACTTCAAGCAGCTGTGCTGACAGATATTGTTCAGGCATGGTCCACTGTTGTCACCATCAGGAAACTAGTTCAGAGCAATGATGGAGAGCCGACACTGGAGACAGCGCATGTAGACAGGAAGTGGTAGCAGTTGGATGGAAAAAAAACATATGGCAATTGTTTAAAACACACAGATCAAAAGCAAATTAATTGTCCATCATTGTGTGTTACCTCCATAGGGAACACTCTGCGGTGTCAGGTGACTCCATCAATGTGTTTGCCCCCATGGGGAACACTCTGTGGTGTCAGGTGGCTCCATCATTGTGTTTTCCCCCATAGGGGACACTTTGTAGTGTCAGGTGACTCCACCATTATGTTTGTCCCCATGGGGAACACTTTGTGGTGTCAATTGACTTTATCATTGTGTTTGCCCCCATAATGAACACTTAGCGGTATCAGGTTGCTCCATCATTGTTTTTGCTCCCATGGGAGACACTCTGCGGTGTGAGGTGACTCCATCATTGTGCTTGCCCTCATAGGGGACAATCTGCAGTGTTAGGTGACTCCATCATTGTGTTTGCCCCCACAGGAAAGACTCCGGTGTCAGGGTGGAGAACTGTTGGTTGTTGCTCTAATCCTTGAGACACATCAGGTCAACTGATCTCTCCCTTCTCTCTTCACAGGGGGAATGTTCGCAGAAATGTTACAACATCTTCATCATTGAGACAGTGTGCGTGGCTTGGTTCTCTCTGGAGTTCCTTCTCCGTTTCATCCAGTCAAAGAGCAAGTGCCAGTTCTTCAGGGGGCCCCTGAACATCATCGATGCATTGGCCATCTTGCCCTACTATGTGTCTCTCATCGTAGAGGACGAGCAGAAGTCTGAGGACAAGCCTGGGGGCAACTCATACCTAGAGAAGATCAGCCTGGTGCTGCGGGTCCTACGTGCCTTGAGGATACTCTACGTCATGCGTCTGGCCAGGCACTCGCTGGGGCTGCAGACATTGGGCCTCACCGTCCGGAGGTGCACTAGGGAATTTGGGCTCCTCTTGCTCTTCCTATGTGTGGCTGTCACCCTTTTTGCCCCTCTGGTCCACCTGGCCGAGAACGAGATGGGCCGCTGCCAAGAGTTTACCAGCGTGCCAGCGTCCTACTGGTGGGCCATCATCTCCATGACCACTGTGGGCTATGGTGATATGGTGCCCCGCAGTATCCCTGGGCAGGTGGTGGCCCTCAGCAGTATCTTGAGCGGGATCCTGATTATGGCCTTTCCTGCCACTTCCATCTTCCACACCTTCTCCCGCTCCTACTCTGAGCTCAAACGGGAACAGGAGAGGCTCCAGAGCCGGCTACTGAGGGTGAAGGATGCCAATCAATCCGGAGAGAGCGACACCTTCAATGACACGGATAGCTTGGTGTCTGAGGAGACCTACCAGTACTTCTACAATGGGAAGTGACCCTTACAGGGACAGCACTTGAGTACTGGGCTTCTATCCAATCCCTAAAATGGAATTATTTATTGCCATAGTGCACTTGAAGAGCATAATGCCTCCAAACCAAGACTCCGGGAAGGCTGTTAGGTCACAATGCCTCCTTCATGACCTGGAACAAGTATGCAGTCAGTGAAGTCAGAAAGTCTGAATGCACATCCTGCCTCCTGGTTCCAGGTCAAAGACTTGCTGAGTAATGAAGCCAGAAACAGGATGATAGCCATGCCTGCACCTTTAAGAATCAAGCCAGCAATGACAGCATGCCTATATCGGCCCCTTTTAAAGTAATGTCCACCCAAAACTGATATGGTAAGTTCAGCTGTACCTCTCTCTGGGTCTCCAGTCATGAGATCCCTGAATGTGAGCTCCTGGCTCCACCCATCTCTGTGACCTATGTAAGTGATCACAGTGATGTCATTGGGTGATTTTTTTTTTACTGTAGTAAGAATGACTGAGAGTTCCTTGGAGCAGAATAATGGGAATTCTATTGAGAGCTCATAAATATAGACATAAGAGAGGTTTGCAGATAATTAGGCCAAATGACCCCGTCCAGAAGTCAGATATCAGTTTTGGGTGGATACTTCCTTGAAATTGTATCTGATACTGTATTTTATGAGGAGAATTGTATTTTTTTGAATGGCAACATAATAATCATTTGGATGTTTCTCTTTGTGGAAAGAAATCATAGTTCAATTTTAAATAAAAGTAATTTATTTACCTAATACGGAGATCCTGATGAGCACATGAACATGATGGGAGATTTCTTTTCATTCTGGAGATACCTTCTCACTTCCTGTTGTGTCTTCGGGACAGGAAGTGAAAGGAAAGCTCCTATAGTGATACACAAACATAAAGACCTGACAGGTGTCCTAACCATTGTATCCAAAACTAAAAGAAAAAGGCTTGGCTTTAGAAACAGTTTGGGGTTTGTTTATTAAAAAAAAAAAAAAAAAATTGCTGGACAATCGTCAAAAAAATTTGCCCAGCCTTATCAAATTTTCCCTATTTTGTCTAATTGGGTTATTTCCTATTATTGTAAGGGAATTTGTCTGAAATACCTCAATCAGGAAAATACCACATTATGGCCACTAGATGGAGCTGACAATCATAGAAAATACCTTGATTAGACAAAATTTGTTATGGCCCGATGAGTACTTGTGACAGACATCTGGTATATTTATTTTAAAAAAAAAGACCCCGAGTTCACCTTGGCCTGAGATCATGATGCACAGCAACCTCATCCTCTTCCTCAGTGATCAGTCTGCTGCAGGCAGCAGGAAGCATTTCCTCAGTCTCCCCTCCCCCAGTGATCAGACTGTACATTGTAACTTTCTAGCAAGTCACAAGATGAAAGGCTTCAGCAGATTTGTGAACATAGCCAATAACTGCACAGGCACCAGGATTTACATGATTGTGTCCTCACTGAGCTGGCATCTCAGTCTAGGAGGTAAATGGCGAGCCTGGATGATGCCTGAACAAAGATGGTGTTGTCCTTTTAGAGAGAAGCACTGATGAAGGCATTGTCAGAGGGAGACCTGTAATCTCTGTGAGAGATGATACATACCCGGAAGGGCTACACTGACACATTACTCAGCATGCTGCACTTAAAGTGTTACTAAACCCAGCAGTAAAATCAGTCTGTATATGCAGTAAAGCATGCTTGTTATACTCACTGTGGAACCGAGGGGTTAAGTCTCCAGATTGTGTAAAAAGGCTGTTTGATCCTGTCTTCTCTGATTCTCCCCTTCTTCCAGTGTCTCCTAAATGTCTCCTGATAAGACATATAGTGTGGAGACACTCTGCACATGCTCAGTTTGGTGTGTATTGCTAGAGAGTTTTTTCTTCGTGGGAGACTGCATGTGATCAGCACAGGGCCAATAAGCACTGCCCAGACAGAGGTCAGGGGTTCTGCATCCTCCTACAGCAGAAAGAAAACTCTTTCTTCAAGCTTTAACCAGTGCTCTGCTGGTCATTGATAGAAGTCACAAGACTGCTCTAACTGCTGATGAGAAAAGGGTCCTGGGAGAGCGGATATAGTGAATGCAGGGTCCGGGGAGACCAGATATAGTGAATGCAGGGTCCGGGGACACCGGACATAGTGAATGCAGGGTCCGAGGAGACCGGACATAGTGAATGCAGGGTCCGGGGAGACCGGACATAGTGAATGCAGGGTCCGGGGAGACCGGACATAGTGAATGCAGGGTCCGGGGAGACCGGACATAGTGAATGCAGGGTCCGGGGAGACCGGACATAGTGAATGCAGGGTCCGGGGAGACCGGACATAGTGAATGCAGGGTCCGGGGAGACCGGATATAGTGAATGCAGGGTCCGGGGAGACCGGATATAGTGAATGCAGGGTCCGGGGAGACCGGACATAGTGAATGCAGGGTCCGGGGAGACCGGATATAGTGAATGCAGGGTCCGGGGAGACCGGACATAGTGAATGCAGGGTCCGGGGAGACCGGATATAGTGAATGCAGGGTCCGGGGAGACCAGATATAGTGAATGCAGGGTCTGGGGAGACCAGATATAGTAAATGCCGGGTCCGGGGAGACCGGATATAGTGAATGCAGGGTCCGGGGAGACCAGATATAGTGAATGCCGGGTCCGGGGTTTAGTAACACTTTAACTTTATAAAATTATGTTTGATGACAGGTCCACTTTAAGGCGATGCCATGGATAAGGTTGACAGACTGGATGACACATCAACTAGAGTTCAGTGCGAAGTCAGAGCTAGATTCTGAGTGTGTGTGTGCCGAGATTTTGCACTCTATTTATGTTTCACACAAGATTCACACATTTTCCTGATTGAATCCAATTAGAAGAATGGGAGAGGGTCTGTTTATGGGAACACACATATTTTTTGAGATTTACACTTTTTTGGTGAAAACTTTGTGAATCTCAAGTAAAAACTGTGTGAATCTTGGATGAGACCTGAGTAACCCTTGGATGCAAGCTGTGTGAATATTGGACGAGAGCTGTGTGAATCATGGGTGAAAGTTGTTTGAATCTTTATGAATCCAAGTGTGAGCTGTGTGACTCATGGATTTAAGCTGTGTGAATCTCAGATGTGAGCTGTGTGAATCACGGGTGTAAGCAGTGTGAATCTCAAATGTTAGCTGTGTGAATCTTGGAAGGGAGCTTTGTGAATTTTGGTCAAGACCTGTGCAAATCTTAGGGAAGAGCTGTGTGAATCTTGAATGTAAGCTCTGTGAATCTTGGATGAGAGTGGTGAGAATCATTGGTGAGAGCTATGTGAATTTTGGATGGAACTCAGTGAATCTTAGGTGGGAGCAGTGTGCACCTTTAGTTAGAGCTGTTTGAATCTCAAGGGTGAGAGCTGTGTGAATTTCAGGTAACCGCAGTATGAATCTTGAGTGTGTACTGTGTGAATCTTGGGTGAAAGCTATATGAATCTCATGTGAGAGCTGTGTGAATCTTGGATGGGAACTCAGTGGATCTTAGGTGGGAGCAGTGGGAACCTTTGATTAGAGCTGTTTGAATCTTAGGTGAGAGCTTTGTGAATTTCGGATGAGATCTGTGTGAATCTTGGGTGTGTGCTGTGTGAATCTTGGGTGTGTGCTGTGTGAATCTCGGGTGAGAGCTGTGTGAATCTTATGTGAGTGAGCTGTGCAAGTCTTGGGTGTGAGCTGCGTGCGTTTCGGGTGAGAGCTGTGTGAAAGCTATGCGTCTCGGGTGACAGCTGTGTGAAAGCTATGCGTCTCGGGTGAGAGCTGTGTGAAAGCTATGCGTCTCGGGTGAGAGCTGTGTGAAAGCTATGCGTCTCGGGTGAGAGCTGTGTGAAAGCTATGCGTCTCGGGTGAGAGCTGTGTGAAAGCTATGCGTCTCGGGTGAGAGCTGTGTGAAAGCTATGCGTCTCGGGTGAGAGCTGTGTGAAAGCTATGCGTCTCGGGTGAGAGCTGTGTGTCTTGGGTGTGAAGCTATGCAAGTCTCGGGTGTGAGCTGTGTGAAAGCTATGCGTCTCGGGTGAGAGCTGTGTGTCTTGGGTGTGAGAGCTGCGCAAGTCTCGGGTGAGAGCTGCGTGAAAGCTGTGTGTCTCGGGTGAGAGCTGTGCGAGTCTGAATCTCTGGTGAGAGCTGTGTGAAAGCTGTGTGAGTCTCTTGGGTCTCGTGTGTGAGAGCTGCGTGAATCTCTGGTGAAAGCTGTGTGAAAGTCTCTCGGTAAGAGCTGCGCGAGTCTCGTCTGAGAGCTGCGTGAAAGCTGTGCGAGTCTCGGGTGAGAGCTGTGTGAAAGCTATGCGTCTCGGGTGACAGCTGTGTGAAAGCTATGCGTCTCGGGTGACAGCTGTGTGAAAGCTATGCGTCTCGGGTGAGAGCTGTGTGAAAGCTATGCGTCTCGGGTGAGAGCTGTGTGAAAGCTATGCGTCTCGGGTGAGAGCTGTGTGAAAGCTATGCGTCTCGGGTGTGAGCTGTGTGTCTTGGGTGTGAACTGCGCAAGTCTCGGGTGTGAGCTGCGTGAAAGCTGTGTGTCTCGGGTGAGAGCTGCGCGAGTCTCGGGTGAGAGCTGTGTGAAAGCTGTGCGTCTTGGGTGAGCTGCGCGAGCTGCGTGAGAGCTCGGTGAAAGCTGTGTGAGTCTCGGGTAAGAGCTGCGCGAGTCTCGTGTGAGAGCTGCGTGAAAGCTGTGCGAGTCTCGGGTGAGAGCTGTGCGTTTCGGGTGAAAGCTGCGCGAGTCTCGGGTGAAAGCTGTGTGTTTCGGGTGAGAGCTGTGTGAAAGCTGTGTGTCTCGGGTGAGATGTGTGAAAATATGGATGAAAATATTTATAAAGAGATCCCTTCTGTCACTGACTACAGCTGAACGCCATTTCCCAGTAATGAGCCGCGTGTAATCCAGACAGACAGCGAACAGCGTTACACGATCGTCTCGCGGAGCCGCGTCTCCAGTACAGGTGCTACCCATTACAACATTACAAAGTCTAATTGATCCTCTCGGGTCGATGGTCTCCCTTT